ATGTCTTATTGCTGTGCTTGGTTGTGCTGCACAGTTCAATTGTTAAGTAATATGCAAAGTAAGCAGAACTTCAGATGTCTTTTCAAGTCATAGACATGTTTACTCAGATATTTTAATACCTTAATTACAACTTTAGCTAAAGACCATCTTGGGTACCATCCAACTGCAAGCTGCAAGGCAACAGAAATAATGTTGTTACTGCAAAACTACATTTTAGCTTTAATTCTGTAAAGATCTCATCTTGGGAATGTACTAACTTCTATATTTACAAGGAAATTAATGTGTTAAGTTGTGCTATTGTACAGTACTGAATAAAAGCTGATTGTTAACCTCAAATAAAAACTCAATATCAAAATCTCATTAACTGTACCATCCACAGTTAGGATTATCTTGCTTTAGGCTCTCAGTGATACTTGCTGATCTTGCTCATGCTCAGCGAGTGATGAAAAAGTCCCACAGTACAGAGCAACAACAGAAGGGAAAGAGTAAGGAAGTTCATCACTGAGCCATCTGTTAAAGGGGTTGGATCTGGAAGGGCAAACTGAGACTTGAAGTCATGTCAAGTTGGTAAAAATTCAGGGTAAAAATTCAGGTAGCTTGAAACAGGCAATCAAACTTTATAAAAACTTTTAACCTCTGTAACAATCTTTACTCATAAAGTGTCAGAAATACCCTCCCCAACCCAACCCCTGCAACCACATTTTTTGACATTTCTAGCAAAATAGCTGGCTATTGTAGGTATCAGTGCAACAGAAAATCCTTGTACAGAATAACTGGCTGTAGAACTGAGCATAAACAATGTGCAGGAAATAGAAAAAGAAAGGCTGGTGTCATAAAAACAAAACTAACAGCTGAACAATGGATGTCTGTTCATTCTGGGTGCTGAGCAATGCATTATAGTAAGGCCTTCTGGTCTGTACTATATTTACCTCTCCACTGCCTGAATTTACATCTCTTGCCAACTTACAGACACTAAAAGAGTAACGAAGTGGGTTCCTTGTCCCTCATTAAGTAATATAAACTTGAGAATAAGTTTTCAGTGCTTCTGATTTACTAAGTAAACATTTCAGAAAATTTGAACTTTACCCTTTAATTCCCTTTCTCCTCCCTAGCTTCTTCTACTGCAGTTCTGGAAAGGCCAAACTCCATATCCAGCTGCAGGAAAGCCTGAAACCTCAGCACACAGCCCCACTTGGGAACAAAGCAGCAGCACTGTGAGTCTTAAGGCTCTTGGTTCCTTGGAGCAACTCCAGTGCCACAGTGAGTTGACCTCAGCCTGGAACGCAGGAGCTCACTTCCCTGGCGGGGCAGCAGCAGGGAGGCCAGCAGGTCTGTGACTAGAGGCAGACTTATGCTGGCCTTCATTTACCTTAAGGAAGCACGGTAAATGCAGTGAATGTGGCTAGTGATCAGGTTGTAAGGTATTAATGCTATTACCGTAGCTCACTTTTGAATTCCCTCTTAAAATCCTATCATGCAGAATCCAGAAAAACCTATGGAACACAATCTGTACACAAAATTTTCATTTTCTGGACAAAATTATTTTACTTAGGCCTTTTCTTAGACAAATATTCTAAATTATCTCAAAGGCAATAGAATTAGCATCCTGTGTTTCTTTTCTTCAGTCTTCCCGCTTACATATTCTCTGAGATCTGCAAAACCAGTAGCATATACTCCACACATATTTCTTAGTGGTGCATTACTAATGCTATCTTTTTGTACATTCAACAGTTACCAAGAGGACGGGAGCCCTTCAGGCAGATACGAAGAAGTTAGCTTCCTCGCACTGCCTTCCTTTTTGCCTTGGATGAAAACTGAACAAAACCCAAATGCACCAGCGCAAATAAAGCACCTACCAACAAACCACATAAAGTACACTGCTTTGTGATATTCATCTCCCTAGCTCTTTTGGATATGTGTGGTTGAATTTAGACAATCTTGCAAACATTAACCAGGGAGTGCGGAGCTCAATGCCAGTAGTCTTAGAAGCACTGCAAATGGAGGATGACTGGATGCTTGTGTCCCGTTCCATTTTGTTGCCATGTGACAGATGGCAACAGAGGGGCACCACATGACAAAGTGGTGTCTGACATGAAGTTTGTATGACACAAAGGCGTGCCACTAAATTTCTCCATGTGGAAAAAATTACCTTTCTTGACTCTTGCTGAATGTTTATGGAGACCAAAGAGTGGATATGAACACAGTGAGACAGAGGGTGGTTGCGTAAAAACAAGCCACATTCTGAATGACTGCACACTGCTGTCATACCACTGAATGAAGAATGTCTTGATCAGCTCATCCACACAGATTGGCTAATTGTGGTGACTATGCTGAAAAATACTGTTTTGTAGCTATGAATTTGCTCCATCAAGTACTGTTATTGTGCTCTTTGTAGCAGTTGTAGTTTCCATGGAAATAAAGAGGAGGCACTGCATTCAAAATGATCTGCATATCGTATACATCTGACATTTTGCTTATAAGCATATGTCTCTTCAAATCTTATCACTTACATGCTCTATCACTTCCTTGCAATTTTTCCAGCCTTTAATTCTTTTTTATCACTGTACCCAGGTCTTATTTAATTAGGAATGTATGCTGGAACAAGTTTAGCACCACGCCTCTTATAACCTGTACTACGCACAGATTGACTCTGGTAAATAAAACCGCTTGGCTGCTGCAGTTTGATACCAACATATGCTACTACACAGCCTACCTCTGAAGCCCAAAAGCTCGTCAGTCACTCCTTCACTTCTCAGCCACCCTGAAAAGATGGGCTTCAAACATGCTCCCTCTACCATCAGGTTGGATATTAAGGTAAAATTTCTTCTCAGAAAGAGCGGTGATGCAGTGGCACAGCTGCTCAGAAAGGTGCTGCAGCCACCATCCCGGGAGGCGTTCAAGAAACGAGTAGATGTGGCACTGAGGGACACGGTTGGTGGGCACAGTGGGGATGGGCTGATGGCTGGACCAGGTGATCTCAGAGAGTTTTTCCAACCGTAATCATAGAATCATAGAACCATAAGGTTGGAAACAACCTACAAGATCATCTAGTCCAATCGTCTTCACACTACCACTGCTACCACAAGCTACTAAACCAGATCTCACAGCTCCTCATCCAGACACCTCTTGAACACTGCCAGAGACGGCGACTCCACCACCTCCCTTGGCAGGCCATTCCAGTGCCTAACCACTCTCTCAGAGAAAAAGTTCTTCCTTAAGTCTAACCTAAACCTCCTCTGGTACAACTTGCGGCCATTTCCCCAGGTCCTGTTTGTTGCCCGGGAGAAGAGGCCAAACCGCTCTTCACCACAACCTCCCTTCAGGAAGTTGTAGAGTGCAATGAGGTCTCCCCTGAGCCTCCTCTTCTCCAGACTAAACAATCCCAGCTCCCTCAGCTGCTCCTCATAGGACTTGTGCTCCAGATCCCTCACCAGTTTCATTGCTCTTCTCTGGACACATTCCAGGCCCTCAATGTCTTTCCTGTAGTGAGGGGCCCAAAACTGAACACAGTACTCAAGGTGCGTCCTCACCAGTGCTGAGTACAGGGGGATGATTACCTCCCTGCTCTGGCTGGCCACACTATTTCTAATGCAGGCCAGGATGCCGTTGGCCCTCTTGGCCACCTGGGCACACTGTCAGCTCATGTTCAGCCGAGCATCAACACCCCCAGGTCCTTTTCCT